AAAAAAAAAAAAAAAAAAAAAAAAAAAAAAAAAAAAAAAAAAAAGAAAAGAAAAGAAAAGAAAAAGAAAAAGAAAAAATCTTCCCACCCTCACCAAACTTTTATTTAAAAAATTAAAAACTTGAGGGGGAAAAAAAAAAGCTTCCTTTAATGGATGAAGTGTTTTCTTACCTATCTCTTCTTGAACAGAGACAGGTGTAAGGGATTCTCTTTCTCCATTTTCTGGATCATCAGCTGCCTTAGCAGATTCACTCTGGGAAGAATTTAGGTCACTGCTGCTGTTACTGTTTTCCAGATTAGGCTGGATGGAGGTAGTGGTAGCACTAGTGTTACTGCTGTCACATGTCTTGTTAGGTTCTTCTAGAAAAACAGAATAACTGATTTTTAAATGGAAATCACATAAAAAATAACTAATTGTCAGAAAAGACATTTAATTGTTTTAGAATTTCATTACAAAGCTATATTTTACAAAGAAAACTGTTCATGTATGAATAATGCAATGTATGAAAAGAAATTGGTAAGCAACATCCTATGAGTTATTTAAGTTTCCCAGTTTATTAAATCCCTGACTCTTATCATCTTGGTCTATGATATGAGGCAGACAATCTTTCAGATACCCCAAAGCTGAAGAATAACCAAGTTTTGCTGCAATAATATCTCAAAATCTGAGAAAAAAATTCTTACTTTTCAAAAAGTATTCAAACAGTATTAGAAATAGAATTAAACAGGTTTATTTATCTCTAAGGTTTTCTGCTTGATTCTATGCCCCAAGATTAACTGGAAGGTAATGCCTAAATGTGATTGTTAACTTTCAAGGATAATTTAATAGTATCACTAAGAGTACAGTTCCTAAAAGTGCATCAAAATTAACACTACCATGAACTGAAAGCCTAAATCTTTCTATGGTAGTTTAGAAATTAAGAGTCTCCCTCTGTGTTGTTCATTTTTGCCACTAATAAGATACTCTTTAAATCTTCTAAAGTAAAAGTGGTTGATAGTATATCACAGTGACCCCCTCTAACATATGAGGAGCTCCCAAAAATTTCTTTGGAAAAAAGAACCCAACAACCTGATAGAAATATGGGAAAATATATGAATAGTTAGAAAAGAAATGAAAATGGCCTTTAAGCACATGGAAATATGCTCACTTTAATTCTAACAGGAGAAATGCTAAGTAAAACTATATTGACAAACTACTACTCAGCACAAATCCAAGTCTCACAATACACTCAGGTGGAGAAGCAGTGGGTTAGCAGGCACTCCCACACATTGCTGTGGGAGTGCAAAATGAGGCAAGGTGGATAAAAGGGAACTGACAATATCTGAAAAAATTATATATGCATTTACTCTTACCCTAGCAATCCCATGTCTAGAAATCTATCCCAAAATATACTAGCAAAATACTAAGTTACGTATCTACAGAGCTATTCACTGAAGCATTACTTAGAATGGCAAAAGACCAGAAACAAAATGCCCATCAATAGGGTACTGGTTGAATAAGAGATGGTGTGCACAGTGAAATATGCACCACAGCAAGGATCAAGAATAATCACTAATTCATATATGAAATGACCTCCAAGATTAAATGTAGAAAGAAAGGTAAACAACAGTACTCACAGTATGCTAACTTTTGTGTCAGCAGGGGAGGAAAATATGATTTTATGAACATTATTTGCTTTTATTTACAGAAAACAAAACCAGAAAAACACTGGAAGAATAACCAAAAACAAACAAGAATGGCTACCCATAAGGGAAAGGGAAGAAGACATGGCTACCTGGAGAAGGAAGAATGGAAGTAAAAATTCTCTGAACATATCTAGTTATATAGTTTTGGCTTTGTAATAATGCAAATGTTTCATTATATTTTTTAAAAAATGAAGTTTTTCTGGTCAAGATGGTGGAACAGACAGTCCCCAGCATCACTCTCAACCCACAAATCAACCAATTTACAACTATAAAAAAGCAACAACAGCCAAGCCGGGGCTGCTGGAGCTCAGGGGAAGAAGAGGAGAGACTTACGGAGTGCATGAAGGCAGGAGAAGCCACAATGAGAGAAAGAAAAAACTGCTCTGTTTCATGCCGTGGCCACTTTAAGGCTGGAGCTGCTGAGCACATGGAGCAGGAGCTGGCAAAACCTGCAGCTGTGCCCTTTGGATGAAGTTGTTTGGAGGTGGCAGGGGAGAAGGGGGCCATGGTGGCCCCCAGGCCAGCAAGACCACTAATAGGGTTCCTGTGGACCCACACAGAAGTGAGGGGCCACAGACAACTGAAAAAAAGGAGCCACTCAGAGGCTGGTGAGTCACTGCAAGGGACTGGCACACAGCCAGTCCCATGGGAAGTGTTGGCAGCACAGGCGGTGGGGGAGACAGGCCCGCTGGGGGAACACTGGGGCACAGCAAGGACAGCTGACTGGCACCTCAATCAGCAAAGGACCACTGAGAGGAGACTGGTCAGGAATATAGAATTGCATTGGGTGTAGTTTGATGAAAAGACTCAGGCCCAGATCAGAGTTTCTACGTGACCTAGGTGCACCAGCTCTCTGGAGAGCTGGAAGTACCTAAAAGTCAACCTGAGCTGCACAAAAAACCTTCCCTAGAGAATCAGCAGCAAAGCAACAAGTTAGCTCAACCACACAGCTCAATCAAGTACTGGTCCCCACAGGAAGTTTCCCCATTTTAGAAGAAAGCAAAGGACAAAAAATTAGTTCTGGCCCCGGCACACCACCAGCACCTCAGGGCCCACGTGGGGACCTGGTGAGGCATGGATCTGGGGATTGGACCCCCACACACAACCAGGCACACCGCCTGCACCACAGGGCCCACCTGGGGACCTGAGGCATGAATCCAAGGACTGGACCCCTCCCCCCACAACCAGGCATACTGCCAGTGCCAAGGGACATGCCAAAGACATTACCTCCATGTGGGTGGCATACCACAGCCACCACAGTAACCACAGCTGCCGCAAAAGCCACTAGATGCGGGCCGGCCCGGTGGCGCACTGCTGCAGTGTGCTGCTTGGGAAGTGTGGTGGCGCTCCCGCCGAGGGTTCGGATCCCACATACAGACTGGCCGCTCACTGGCTGAGTGAGGGGCGGGAGCAACACCGAGGGTTGTGATCCCGTGGCTGGTCCCGGTTCGGTACGGGCGCGACACTGAGGGTTGCGATCCGTTGCCGGTCACGAAAAAAGACAAAAAAAAAAAAAAAAAGCCACTCGATGCCACAACCACCACACAGATGGTCTGCCAGCCACTGGAGTGCATTGACACAAGGAGAGTTACCAGCAGAGACCAAAGAAAAGAAGAGGATGTCTCTCTCCATGAAGCCCATTCCAGAGTGACAGAAGAAGCATGTGCTCTACGATAATACTGGGGGACCTGAACACACCTCTCAGTATTGGACAGATCATCTAGGCAACAAATCAACAGAGTAACTATTACTCTTTCAGAAGGAGAGAAAAAATCTAGGGTAATTAGAGGGGGAGCAGGAGGGAGAAAGGGATGGGAAGAGATTGGATAAGGGGCATACAGAATAAGTACGATTTGTGACAATATATATGCTAGTAATATTGATTTAATCAACATATGTCCTTGAACCCCCAAAATATGTATAATCAATTATGATTCAATAAAAATTAAAATAAAAAAATATTAAAATTAAAAGAAATGCAGTCTCTAAAAACTGAAAACAAACTGATACTAACTGTATATCAAGTTGTGCATAACCACACAGAGTAAAAAATGATTACAAATGAGTTTGGAAAACAGTAGCTTAACTGTATCCTTAGTAGAAATATAGAATAAGGACAAATAAAGAGCTGCAAAAAAGTCTTAAGTGTCATTCAGTAGTCTTACTATCAGCAGTAATACTGGTATTATAAAAATACTACTACATATAAAAACACTTATTGTTATTAATGCACATTAGGATAAATTCTGTTAGGATAAATTCTGTATCAGGATAAAGGAAATGCATAATTGAGTTACTGTTGTTAAGAACTAAGGTTTTCAGGGCAGGCCCTGTAGCTCAGCTGGTTAGAGCACAGCCTTGTAACATCAAGGTCAAGGGTTCAGATCCCCATACCGGCCAACTGCCAAAAAAAAAAGAAAAAAGACCTAAGGCTTTCAGTGTAAGGCAAAAGAGTACAAGTGTGAAAACAAAGTAACTAAGTATATGATCCTCAATCTGAATTTAAAATACCAATATAAACTGATGATATTTTTATTTTCAAAAATATTTATTTCCTAATGCTACCCACCAAAAAAGCCTAGAGGTTGAGCCGGCCCGGTGGCGCACTGCTACAGTGCGCC